AAAAGAAGAGCTTCTAGAAGAGCTTTTCGCCAACGTCTCAACATGTTCAGAGAAAACTGAATTAAATTGTCCCACTTTTGTTGGCAATAACTTGTGAAAGCTCTACAAGCAATCAAATTCATTCTACTTCCCATTTTTCAAAAAACCAAAACCAAATGTTAAAATTCACACCATTTTGAGATTCATATCGGACAAAGATGTGTGCTGAATAACTCACCATAAAACAGCACAAACCTAGCACAGTCGATTGACACAAGATTTTGTAAATGTGGGGGCTGGTTGACCTTAGATGACCTCTGGAAACGTATCAATGTCTTTGAAATAATAGCAGCGCAAACAAAGCATTTTGCTGCACAACATTTGACACTAATTTCATTGAATTTGAAGAAGGTGAACTGGCTGACGTCACTCAGGTAAAACGTCAAGAGAGTCATGCTTGTAGCACACGGTGGCTCGATCTGCAACGCATCGAAAACGATGTCCATCTTCCTACCACTTTGCAATATTGCACTCCTTCTTTCACACACAATCCCTACAAAATATGTGAAAGTTTGAAGATGTAAAGTGTGAAAGTTCAAGTGGTGCGGGTCCTTTTCGCGAGCCACTGTGCGGATCTTGAGTTTTCTCATGAGTGACGCACCTTTAAGGTCTTGTTGTGCCTTTGCAGCTCCCTGCAGAGCCCCTCCAGTTTGCTGCGAGCCAGCACCGCCCGGCTGTGCTCGCTCTGCAGCTGGTCCTTCTCCTTCATCACTTGGAGCAGCTTCTTTTGCAGGGTCTTCATCTGCTTCTGGCCACTGCGATGCTCCTCAAGCTGGAGGAACACACACACACACACACACACAAATTCTTCAGATGTCCGTCAGATTAATCGGGGTGGGGGTACCTCCATTCTCCCGTTGCTCACCAGCTCAGCGTGCTTCTTTATGATGGTTTCCAGTTTCTGCTCTGGAGTGTCGAGTTTGTTCAGACTTTGCATGAGAAGCATGGCCTCCTTACCTGAGCAGTTAGACATCATCCATCATTGTTAACAATGTGTAAAGATGTAAAATTACATACTGTGGGGTGAAAAAAAATCCCTCAGAGCGACTAAAACGGTGTAGAAAAGGCTCAGTGTGGTGTTATACCTGACAGATGAGCTTACACAACTATCGGTTTCAGTAAAACTATGAGACTTCTGCTGACCGAGCTGAATCCGAACCCACCGAACTTAAAATCGATGAAACATTCAGGAAAGAAGAAATAAAAGAGACCTAGATTTTTGAGCATTCTCTTCTCTAGTTTCTGGTCCTTGCGGGCATCTGGCTCTTTGGCAGCTGTGACCTCCTCTATGTCCTCTGGCTCAGCTGGACTCTGGGCTGCCTGGTAGGTGCTAATGATGTCCTCCAGCTGTTGGCCCAGGTCTTCTGTCAGGTCAATGTGGCGATCGTCGGCCGGAGACGCTCCGGGGCCGGCGGGGCCGGGGCCGCTCTCCTGACAAGCCTCCATGATCCTCAGCGAGCACAAACAAGGGAGCGACAGTTATTATGATTAATATGTCTAATGGCTCTCAGTGGCTTTAGACTCGTGGTTTATTCAATACATAACCAGTGGACTATTTGTCTTACATATAATGAGCACAATTTGATTAAAACTAGTCTGATCGGTAGTTTTTTTTTATATTAGGTCACATTCTTAAGAGTATATAAGTCATTTGTAAATTGTTTTAGTTTATTATAACTAAGGAAGTTGAAAACGATTCAGAAAATATTGAGTCTAACAGATGTTTTGGTGTTGAGATTGCTCATGTTTGTGTTATAAGAGTTTGCAGGTTTTATATGAAACGTGTTAACGTCAAAATCTGCTGTTTGATGCCCAGGGTCAGAGGTCAGGAGAGCTCAGTGCGGTTTGAAAGGATGACAAACACGGACGGCTGATAAACTTTGGTCCCGCTTTCTTGAGTGAAATGTTTCCGTATGAAATGAATACGTCTATCGTTCGTGCTCTGGGAAAGGATTAGACAGCAGATAGATTCATCTCTGGGCTTTGGCAACACCTGGAGTCTCAAACTGCAGTCCTTGAGGATCAGAGTACTGCATCTTTTAGATGCGTCCCTTGCTCTACGCTTTACCCTTGAATTAAAGGGTAAAGCTGCATCTCTAGCATCCAGGCAATGTTTACAGAGCTCTGCTAGTGAGCAAATGTTGGAGCCAGTCATCAATTCACCACCTGATGTGAAAAAAAGTAAATCAGTGAAATCCAGAGGATAAATTTTACCTTCTTATTACACTAAAAATAAACTAATTTAGGACTAAACCTGTTTGTGTTAAATGAACAGGGTCACTGTTTATTTAGGGCTTGTGGGTTTTTTTTTAATAGTGTCATAAGATAATGGCAGGGCTTTAAAATATTGAATAGGTAAAATTGTGAATGAAAGAAGATGCAGTGAAGCATTTACAGTGTCATGCTAAGGATCGGACTATTTTCTCCAGTCACACCTACGTCTTAAACCATATCTTCTCCTAAACCCCCAAAACTAAGAGAGGGGGGGAAAAACTGCTAAACATTAAAAAATTGAATAAAAATGCAGTTTTAAATGAATTCAAATTTAATTTGATACCGCATAAGTTAAACACAAATCCGTCAACTTTTGATATATTGCCTGGTTTCACTTAAAATGTGGGGGGGAAAAATACTAATTGTGACAGTCTGTTTTCATATTTACACAACAGGATACAAGAATGTACGTCAAGGTGCGACAAACGGGATTTAGCGCACGGCGTCAGATGCTGCTCAGGGCGTCGCGTTGCTGCAACGCGCGTCGTGAGACTCGTCGTCCTTTTTCTGGCAGCGGCTCTTTTTCTCCCACCAATCCGGGGAGAGCAAACAGTGTGATGTGAAGTGACATTGTGCGCACTCACAGTCAGAGCCTGTCTGACGCGCGTAAAATTAGTTCTGCCTTCACGCAGCCTGCGCTTTCACAAGCAGAGCGCATGGCACCTGTTCCAGACCCACAAGCTATTTTAGGAACTTCTTAATATGGGCACGTTGTTTATTAGTTTCTTTTTGTTTCGTTGTCGTTTCTAATCCACCCTTTTTGATGCTGGGGTCAGTGATGGGGTCAGTGAAAGCAGGAGTTCTTCTATTTATATTCACATGAAAGGGTTATGTGAGAGAAAATACCGCTTCGATATTTTAAAAGGAGGGTAAAAAAAACACAAACATTAAAGAAAGAAAGCGCTGGAGAGTCTGAGTTTCATGGAACAAAGGTCTCAGTGAGACATTTAAATGCTTTCTCCAACAAGGGGATTTTGTTGTCAACAAATGACGCAGGCAGGTTCTGACCGGCTTCACGTCTCCAACAAACCCGGTCAACGCGTCACCACATGCAGCCAAACACACATTAGTAAGTTAGAGGACGGCCGGGGAGCCGGGAAGCGGCTCCAGCAAATGGCCTTGGCTCGTCTCTTCATGTTAGACAAGAGGAAGGGGCGCAAGCAAGCGGGGTCTTACCGGGACAAAGGTCCAGAAGGGAAAAGGGGAAAGAGCGGCGAGGGGTTTGGGACAGGCGGCCCCCAGCGATACGACAGCTGTGATAAGACCGCCTCAAAATAAACCAGGAGAGAGCAGCTCACCCTGAGCAGAGAGAGGGAGGATGGAGACTCTCTGCAGCACGTCTGCAATCGGCGTGTTCTGCTACTGGTGTGTCACTTTTGGCTGTTTTAGTTCTGCTTTTATCACACGGCGGCCTGCTGTCACTTTGCAGTGCAATCGTTTTGAGAAACGGGCCTTCAGAGTGAGAGAGCAGTAGAGACGATCCGTCTCTGATTGGCTGGTTTTAGAGGAAAAACTCCTCCACAGTGTGAATGTTAGAGATCTATACAGGCCTCCTGACGTGATGCAGGCCAGGGATGTCCAACGTGCGCCCGGTGGTCAATTGTGGCCCTTGGACTGATTTTGTGTGGCCCCCCGACGTCAGTTCAAAAATGGCACAAATTTGTCCCGTTCATGCAGATGGAGAATTTGTAATCAGGGTAAAAACTGTTATCAGTATAATTTTCTTACAATGGAAAGAAAGTCTTTCTTTTTTTTAAAACAAGTTTTATCCAGAGAGAAGCCAACTTTGCTGAACCCAAATCAGCTTTTATTCTTTCTTAAAACTTGTTGCCTGAACACATGGCAGAACATAGACAGGCACTTTGTGTCATGATTATCAGATTTAGGAAAAAATAAATGTAAAAAAAATCCTGATTTAGACTGAATGAAATCATATTTTTGAATGTTTTGCATTTGGAAATTCCTAACAGATTTTTTTTGAAATCAAAATTATTCTTAACAGTATTGTGATTTTCTACATTTTGACTTTATATTTTACAATTTGAAATTTCAAATTCTAAATCTGATATTGTCATTTTAAAGCTCACACTTCTGACTTTGAAACTCTTGTGCCTGTTTCATAAACATAAGCGGCGGTTTTATGCGCTGTGTCATAACATAATTAAGTATATATATGTTCACTCCAGCTGTTATAACAATGCTGTATGTGTCAAAACATGACATAAAAGACAATTTGATTTTGCAATTTAAACAAGTGTCCTGAAAGGACTCTCCATTTCAGAATCATAACTTCATTTTAAAACTCTCCATGCGCCATATTGTCCCCGAAACGCTTCAGTGGAACAAGAAGGGGCGGCAATGCAGGTCCGATCGCCTCCATGCCGACTGATGTAAACCTTGAAATGTGGTTGAATCTCAGTCGACAAGGTGAGAACTATTTTTGGACGCGTCCTGCTTTGCACTCCGACTGCAGCAGCGCGCTCTCGCCAGAAGATGTCAGCACCAAGGCCTCGTCCTCTCAGGTCTGCCCCCACCCCCGGCGCCCTTCAGATGAAATCTGAGCGATTTCTGGTGAAAAGCCTTTCTCCAGTGGAATCTCACCTGGTCCCCGCCGAGCTACGAGAGCGGAGGGATGGAGGCCGCTGAGAATGGTCGAAGAAGAAATGAGCCACCACACAGAGCCGCGATTAAAAGGACGTCCTTTTAAAACAGTTTTAAATTTAATCTGAAAAAGTAGAGCACCAAACAATAAATTCCTCAGAGCACAAAAGAGGCACTCCGTCCAGACTAACCAGATTTTCCAAGGCGAAGAGCTAAATAACAGATTGGCTACTGAGGTTCTCCCCTCAAAGAAAGAAAGAAAGAAATAATAATAAAACATCTGATTCATCCTCTATATGTTTTACAGGGAATTGCCATTGACACGAGAGGCACGATGCAGTTCAGTGAACATGAGAACACCTCGAGAAAGCAACAGGATCCCAACACATACGGTGCGCCAAAAGCAGACTTCACTTTCCCTTCAGGTGAGAAAGGATTTCCAGACTCCATCACGACAAATAGAAAAGGACACACACACACAAAAAAACAACAACAACAAAACAAAACAAAACAAAAAAATCACAAGAGAAAGCGCCACCCGTCTCCACGGAGGAGAACACAAATTTAAAGCAGTGCACCTTTTAAATTTTCTATGTAAACATGACTGAACGAAGGTTGCCTTTTGTAGCTTCAGCCGTTTGAATCCAGTCTCAAACCCATAGCCACGCTTCAAGACCTAAACGCGTTTCTTTAAAAAGACAAAACACTGTGCTATTTCTTTTTTTTCTCTTCTTCTTCTTTTTATCTCCCTCATGAAACCTCTGCAGATGTTTTACCTCCGAAGGAGACAGAGATCCACGTAAAAAGTTCTCGGAATACGACACTGCAAAAATAGTTTAAATCATAAAAATACACATATGTACACATACAGAATGAGTGGCTACTTGCAGACCTCAGTCAGGGCGTCTATATTGTTACTATAGTGTTAACCTGCAGCAGGTGGTGCGGACGTTTCCGGGTGTGACATGAAAATGTGAAACAGTTCGGCATCGACCCGACCACCGTAGCCCCTTGGATTTGTGTGCAAAACGCTTCGCACTGCGAGAGATGAGGGGGGAGGGAGGGGACAAAAACAGGAATGTTTCAACAGCCACAAGGAAACGGGACATTTTTTACTCTCTTTTCCCCTCCACCCCTCCACCCGACTCAATAGCAGCTTCATCATCAATCAAAAAACACACACAAAAAAAGGGATGAAAGTGCATCTTTAAAACTCGTTAAACACTCATGATCGTCTGCATAAGCGGAGAAAACAAGGTCGGTCAAAGCAACGTCATGAGATCAAAAGCAACGCAGGAGTGGCTCACTGCATAACTGCTGCATAAATACAGATATACCATATAAATAGTAGTCAAATGCTTACCAGTATCAATAAGTGCTTACGTTCTAATATATAAATACATCTTACAGTATTGATAATTACATAATTAATTCCTCTATGGTTGTGCAATAGCAAATCCCATGCATTTTTTTTTGTACCAAGATAAAAACCACAATATTAAGAAAAATGCAACACAAGTGACATTTGTTTAAGATTGTGTCACACAAATCCATTTGTCGAAACGAAACGAAACAAAAACTAAGCTCCCACAAAGCCTTTGCCAGAAAGTGCAGCTTCTTCTCGGAGAGAGTCCGTCGACGTCGCCTTTTCTCAGCCACAAATGCCGGAGCGAAGAAAAGCGACGGAAAGAAAAGCGGGAAAAGAAAGAAAAGGCACATACCCCCTTTGCTGCTTGCTCAGAAGCACCGAACTGCACGAGAAGCGTCTATTTAAAGTTTGGTCAGACTGTTTCATAGTACACACACCCTCATAAATAGTCTTTAGTTACAGCACTACTGCATCACACCTTGATATGATCAACAGAAACGACAGTCTATGTTCAAAGTACACACTGCAAAATACACTGCTTGTATGCATCTAAGTAATAGTATATGTTAAGGACATTTGTACAGGACTCATAAATGTAATTGTTGTGCAATTGTGCGCAAACTACGATCTCGGACAAAAAAAAAGGCATATTAGCATAATATCTTTCCGTATTGCAACTGCACCCAATAATGATTCTTCCCCACCCACCCTTTTTGCAAAACATCCCACACAGAATCTCTGTGGAGTTTGATCATGCGAGACCAGGGGAAACGTCATTATATTGCCTCTAACAGGATAAAGACAAGGCGGTTAAAGGGATGAGGATGGTTGCAGGTGTAACAGGGGCGGGAATAAATCGAAGGTTTTAATGAGGATCTTCTATAGTAATCTTCAGCGAGGCGATGGCTTTCAGGCAGGTCTGGACGCTCTCTTCCTGTCTGCTCTCCCTGGCGGGGAGCTCGGGACTTTTCTCCTGGCGCCCGTCGAAGTTGTCCCCTCCCGCCTCGGGCCCGTTCACGGACCCCTCCGTGCTGCTGTTGCAGCTCCGAGGGCTGGACGCCGGCGAGGGGCCGGCGACGTCGGCGCCGGGCGAAGCCGGGGACTGCAACATCTGGAGCCCTCCGACAGGAACGACGGGGAGCAAAGAGCGCGCCTGCTGCTGGGAGTGGAGAGGGAGGTGGCTGAGGACGTTCTGCTGATGAGAGCTGGCAGCGCCGGGCGGCTGAGCGGGAGCCAAGCCGCCGCTCCTTTGATCCTGGAACAATATTATTGGCGAGAGTTAGCGGCAGGTCCATCGCCAGCATGCGAACATGTATTGGTTGGAAAACATGAAGGAATGTGAGTTATTTAGCTGGAAAAAAATTGTTTCAAATGAAGCTCTCGTGATGGATAGTCTGGGCACCGTTTGGATCAGGATTGAAATGTTGCCACATCATGAAGGGCCATCGTAATAAAGTATTTCTTGCAAACACTTCGAGATCAATTCAAAATGATTTACATCGCAGCTCACAAGGCTTCAGAATCCAGATTTTTCACATGTTATCACACTGGCGCTAGAAAACATCAACATTTCCTGTTGATATTTGATAGACCAACACAGAAAGGCCTCAGAGGTTAGACAACATCAGTGGACAAACAGCATCATAAAGACCAAATAACACAGTAGACAGAGTGAGGAGAACTCTGTGGAGAAGCTTAAACCATGTTCAAATGTTAGACTGTCTCCACATAAACTCAACCAAGAATACTCACCACCATGTGAAAATTGATAATCATAGACACAGTTCATTCAATATGTCTGATCTTCAGCTGCTTGCAAAGAATAGGAAGAAACATATCTATCTATCTACAAAACTGGTGGTCAGAACCTGAGAGACTCTCCCAGTGAACGCTGCAGACACGGTCACCAGTCCATCACAGAGCAACAACCATCAACCGACACACGAAAGGTAAAATGGTAAATGGCCTGTACTTGTATCGCACTTTTTATTTTCACACATTCTCATGCTGGCAGTGGCGAGTCCCCCATCTGCTGGCGAGTGTCTCCAGCAATCAGAGGGGTCATCTTTCAGGGTCTGACTCTACCAGGTTTGCAGATAGAGATGGACGTAGCTTTCACATAGTTGTGGAAGTTACAGTCCAGCAGCTTCCACATGGGAAGCTGCTGGACTGTAGCCACATTTGCCCTGGGGCAGTTTCACAGAAGCAAGGCTGTCATATTGCGCAACCAGCCCCTCTGCCTGCCACCAGCAGGCAAAGCGGGTGAAGTAGCTTGTCGAAGAGCAAAACAGCAGAAACAGATGGTACAGTGATCAAACTGGCAACCCAGCATTTATGGGATGAACTCCTGCTGCCATTGCTACAATCAAAGAGTCAAGTTTTATGGAGTAATTCAGAGAACCCATACATGCCAAACTCAGGACCCTCTTGTGGCAAGGCAGGAGTGCTGTTGCACTAACATCCTGACCCATGTATCATTTTCCTTCCACCATAAATCTCACTACTTTGGTCTACAGTATCCCCCAGAAAAGATGCATGAAAGTTTGTGGTTGCTGTGACAAAATGTGAATGTATGGGAGGGTAACAGATGAACAAGTATTACCATTTCAAAAGCCTGTTGTTGCTGAGCCATCTCCATCTTCGCCTGGTGTCTGGTTTTATCACAGCCGCCTTTATGTTGGTGTGAACCTCTGCGTGGTGACACCGCCCTCAGCACAACCCTCTGCCTGCCCCTCACGGACGATTCTCGCTTCCCAGGTATGTCTGCTGTCCCAGGGGACATTGGTCGCTCCAAAGAGACTGGGCAGGGGTGTTGGATGGATTTGAAGATGGGTGACCCAGGCCTGAGTGGTGAGGAGTCCCACCTCGGTGAAGACCGCCCTCGTGGGGACAGCTCCCGCCTTGGGGACGGATACCGTAGCCGCGAGGGAGAAGGTTCCCTGATGGGAGATTCCCAGCCAGGAGACAGCAAATAAGAAGAGTATGGGTCAAAAAGGAGACTGGTCTGGTCCAGTGGCAGCATGCTCAGAGAGTCTTCATCCACAGACTTCTCCCTGGGTTCTGCTGGCAGGGCGAAACGATTATCCGTGCTCGAGCGTTTGCCAGAGGACTGCTGATGAACGTCCGTGCCGGGCAGAGCAGCTAGTGAGCAACCGTGGATGGCAGAGCTGACGGTGACGGACACCGAGGTCACTCTGCATGTCTGAGGACTCGTACTTCTTGAAAGCAGCTTTGGGGTGGAGTCCCCTTCATACTCATCGTCCTCTTCATCTTCCTCATCTATTTCGTCGGCCTCCTCGTCCATTCCTTCGGAGTCCTCAGCGTCTGAGAACTGATGCTTGGTGGTTGCTGCCACATCTGTCTTGGATTCCAGTTGGATATTGTCTGCTTTCAAAGACACGTGTATTAAGTTTAGCAGCATTTATTGCATCACACCATGAAAACCCCCCCACCAAATCCAGCAGTGTTACAACTTAGAATCTTACCATGTTCTTGTATGTCTGTGTCATCCATTGTCACTGAAACTCCCAGTTCAAGACATTTCTTCATGTGCGCCTTTGACTTCATATGTTTAGTCAGGTTTCCTGTTATGCAAGGCAAACATTTGAGTAATGCTAACTACGATACAGAGTGATGAAACAACTGAAATGTCTAATTCAAGCTAAGTGAACCTTTCCTAATATTTTGCTGTGTTCCAATGACAAACTTCAAAATATTTACTGAGATCTTATAGTAGGACAGTAGCGCAGAACTTTCTAGAGTCTTGTTATGTGACATTCATTTGTATTCAACCCTCCGTTACTTTGAAAAAGCGGCTTCTTCTGCAGTCACAGCTACAAATCCTCAGGGATACGAGTCCACTAACATTGCACATCAACACCAACATTTGTAAAATATCTCAAGCTCAGACAGACTGAATAGTCAGCATCTCTGAATGGAAACATTTTAGTTTTATATTGGATTTAGGTCTGAACTTTGAGTCGTTCCAACATGAATTGATATAAACAATTGTCCTGAAGGACAAAGTGAGTCTCTAACCAGCTTCCCTGTTCTGTCTGAGGTAAAGCTTCTCCGCTGTATTCTGCAGACACTAGTATGCTCAAGAAGATATACATCCACAGATGTTTTATTTTTCTGCCACATGTTCCTTGTCCATAACAGCGAAACATTCAAATTTGATATCATCTGTCCTGAGCTCCTTCTTTTCACATTTATCACTATATCCTCTACATGTGAGCTGGACGTTATTTCAACAGTTGCTTTCATATTGCCACTTCACAAAATCCAGATATGTGGAGTGAATGATGGAAACTATTCTCCCACCTGTGATATAATCTCCACAGCTAGTCCAGAGACACAATGTGCCTGCTTGTTGCTTTTCTATTAATGCTCTCCTTGACCAGCCTGTCCATTTAGGTGGACAAGCTGTCTTGGAAGGTTTGCAGCTGTGGCTTGAACAAAGCTCTGTGAGATTATTTTATGGCCTAACTCCTTTAAATTTCTCTCCAGGTTTATGCCTGAGGTGTCTAATAGGATCCTCGGTCACCAATTAGATGACTTCTAAAGCCATTTAGTTGGACTGGGTATTATTTAGGGGCCTGACTGCAAGTCCTAGTCACACTTTTCAGATTTTTATCCACATTGTTTTAAAATCATGTATGGTTTTTCTGTCATTTGTCACATAACTAAATGTATTCATTCTTTGTTTGCATTTGGATTTCAACAATGCAGGCATATCCCTAACAACAACACAAACTACAAAATTTGTTGCCAGTGCTGAAAACTACATGTTTCATCTTGTGTGGTTATATTTAGCAAGTTTCTTCCATTTCAAATGAGGAGGATTCTTCTCCGACTACCGCTGTAGGTCTTACAAATCCCTCCTCCACAATGAGAAGTACCCACCTTTGGTTTTGAAGGCAAAGTTGCAAACCCTGCAGATGTAGGGCCGCACATCCGTATGGGTCCGGATGTGCTTCTTAAGCATGCTTGGCTTCTTACAGCGAATACCGCACTCCTCACAAATGTATTTCCCCCGGCCTCGACCTCTGACGTACACGTAGTCTTCATTGGACTTGTACCTTAAGCGGACATGAAACAGCATTGGCAAGTTTAGTTTTGAAGAGGAAAGACAGCATAGGTTGCTGGTGCATTAAGTCAGTATACCTAAAAATAACTGTAGCACAAATGACATTGACAAGTGTTACAAGAACTTGACTTGTGTGCTGACTGACCCTCCCTCGAAGATCTTAATTCGTGTTGGCGCTGCCTGGTTTGCGGAGGCCTCCCTCTCTTTCCACTCCTCCTTGGCTGTTTTGGCTCTGCAGCTGATGTCTTTCACCTTCTTCCCGTAGGTGATGTCCACCTCTTTGGACTCCGGTTTCCTCTGCAGCTGAATCAGATGAACACACACCGCGTTAACAACCACAGAATGCGGCCAAAGAATCGACTGTAATCTGACGCGGCCGATATTAAGTGTCACACATAGTGTTACACGGCATGTTTTGCAAACATGTATTATGCTGTAGCTTGGGAAAAACCCGCTGTAGGCACCCTATGGTTTTCTGCCATCAAAGTTCTTTGAAGGGATTGTCGAGGATTTTTAAAGTGAGGTTCTGGTAAAATGAGTAAGCAGTCAGTATCCTCATATGTATTAGACCGCTCGCTTGATGTCTTCGTTTTAGCAAATAAAGAAAAAAATAGTTACGGCGAAAGTTTGCATCTGGCACAATTTCTCCAAATACAAACAAAGAATGAGTGCTCCAATTCTGAATTGTTTTCCAAATATGAATGTCGTTAGCAAGCATTCAAACTAGAGTGCAAAGATTACGTCCCACCTCTCTCAACCCTGGTTTTGTTGTACTGTATGCTCCCCTCCTGTGTTGCTTTCTTCTGTGCCTTGATCGCAAAGCAGCTGGAGACAGAGGTACACGCCTTGAGAGGCCATCAATGAGGCATGTACAATATTGAAAAGGGCAACACTCCTTTAAATTATGTGACTTTTCATCCTATTTGGATATGCAGGCAGAAGCAAGTTTCCATTTAGTTAGCATAAATAGGTAAGCTGAAATAGCTTGCTCCTGTATTGGGTTTTGGGCTTGAAAACTGAAGCTAAGTGTCAGTTAAAGGGGGGCCAAAACCAAATCTGACTTATGTCATCTTTTGGGTACACCTATCTCTACCACAGAATATTGGTTCATACAAAAAAAAAAGAAGAAGAAAAAAAGACATTTTATGAACTCTGATGCTTCCATTGGGCAAATTACACTGAAACAGATGTTCACTACATGGGAAATGCAGGCTGCAGGCAGTGCAACACCAAGTATCCTTCTGTGTTCAACAGAGAATGAAACATGGTGTTTTACACTTTGAAAAAGCTAAGTCATTAGTTTAAGTGTGTCTTCAAATGATGCAACCTGAAATTGTAGCATTTCTTACATTTTCAGATGGTGTGCTTTTGCTCTGCACTGTGTCAAATAATACAAGCTTCTTGGAAAAACTTGCCACACGCTGCCATTTTTGGTGGCACTGCACCAGGAACTAATGTAAGAAACGACACAGAAATCTCTGAAGACGACTGAGCGCATCTTCCTTCTGCACAAAATGTACACAAAAATGGAGTGGCGTCAGATTTTCGCCATTGTAAAATTTCTCCCACTAGCACTCGACTTGAATTTTTGTTTTGGTTGTATTTACCCAGAAGGCCCTGGGCTATAGTCTTTTGCTTTTGGAGCAGAGTTGGAAATGTACATTCACACCTCCCCAAACAAACCAAACTTTCTACACAAATGAGGTAGAGTTTTACTAAAGCGGAATAAACAGGACTGGTGTGAATGCACCCAAAGTTAATTTAGAAAATCTATTCTGAATATTGGTTATGAGGATAATTACCACCAAAACCTCAAGAGGGAAAATAACCGACTAATGCAAACATCATAGTAGCCTATGCAAATGCGGTTTTATGTGCTTGTTACAATTATGTTTATATTCGACATCTAGGAAAGAGAGCCAGGAGGAGCATCGTACAGCAATGATCATTTGCAGGAACTACCAAATATAAGCAATAGAGTATAAAAATCAATAAAACAGCTTTCAGTTAAACCTCTACAATACTTTTATGTCAGACAGAAAATACAATTTGCATAAAGCGCAATAATTAGGATTTAAGATGCTGATTTGGTCTTGGACCTTCTTAGCTTTAACCTCGAGGTGTAAAAGGATCTGGACATGTCCAGAGTGAAGAGTTAAATGCTATTAACTCCTTTAAACATTTTCAATGAAAATACTGACTTGCCCTTTTAAAGTAAACTCAAGTACAGAGAAGATAAGATGAACACCTTGTTTCACAGCTTAGGAGTTAATATCTCAAAAATGTTTTAAATATAAATGTTTGTCTTCCAAATACGAATGAAGAGCAAGAGATTAATCTAAACAAATCTCTCCAGGATCTCCTGCCAAATGAGGCAAGTGTACATCGTGAGTTTCTAGATCAAATTGTCCTTCAAACATCATGCACTTCAAACTGTTATCTCTTTCAGAGACGAAAAGCTATCAGCACAGTCTGAGGTGCTAATTTATCTAATCATTATACAAACAGAAGAAATCAGCAAAACCAATTACATACTCTATAAAAAGCACATTTCCCCCCAGGTAACCCATGATTTAGTTTTCTCTCTCTCTCGCTCTCCCTCAGTCTTCAAACAGATGGGATCATTTACTCACCTGTTCCATGGTCTGTCTCCAGAGGATGAGGGATGAAACTAGTTTCCCCGTGCCAGGCTGGCACATTGCAGCTACGGAGTATATAACCTTGTCTCCTCTCTGTCTGGACCGCAGCAGAGCCAGAGCAATGCTGGTGCTCACTTCCAGGGGGTTTGGATTGTGGGAGCTCACACACCATGTGGCGTACACAGAGGCGAAGGGGGCATCGCCCTGCGAGCAGCTCGGCTTTGTGTAGTTGAGGTAACACCAGCTCACGCCTGTTGCCGTGCGGAGGCTCGGAAACTGAGATAAGAGTCTTGGATGCTCTGCGCCCGAGATCAGGGTGTCTTGACTGGTAGCCAGATGTGCCACGACATCCACCTGCATCCGTTCCTTTGCTTTGCTGCCTGATATGACAGCGTAAGTGGGAGAGCTTGCTTCCAGGGAGTGACTCTCCATAGCGCTCTCAGATTCAGTGGGCTCAGTCACTGTTTGATGTGCGACAAATGAAGTCCTGCTGGCGTCACCCGCCACATGCGGCGATGTGACCTGCATCTTTGACCTGCGCCCCGACTCTTCACTCATATGGCATTTCCCCAACTCCACAGCACTCAGCTCCTCCACGATTTGCCCAAACATCCTTTCCTCCTTGACTCGTTTTTGCTGCTTCACCTCCATGAATAGGTCCAAGCTGCTGGCAGGGGAAAGCATCCGCTTGTTTGCCCCCCCACTCGAGGCATTAGTAGTTGATATAGTTCTGGAGGTCAGAGACAGAGGGATGCCTGTCTTCAGCTTCGCTGATGACAAATCCAGGGCCTCAACACTGAGGGCGTCAGCTGTGGGCTGCTTTGAGTACACATTGTGAGAATCGAGATTTCCAGATAAGTGTGCAGTTTGACTGTGCATTTGGCGGGTGGACGTTGTGGAGCTCATACTGTCATACTGATTGTCAGAGATCTGTGATAAAGACGTGTATGTGATACTGCCAAAGGATGGCACATGTGTCTGAATTCTAACAGGAACAACTAGGCTGGGATTGGGCAGCTGGGGAAATGTGTTCCCAACAGAAAATATTGGCAAAGTCTGTGGCAGGACAGCACCTGCCACAAATGGAGGGGAGGCGCTGCCGATGTACTTTGGAAACACTTGTGAAGGGACTTGTGTAACTTCAGTATCCATATTCAGCGACTCCTGTCGCACCAAGTTTCCCCTCCTTCTCTCCTTTACGACGCTGATGTCCACGTGTCTAACTTTGGAGGTCGGAGAGAGGCTGCCATAGTCAAATGATATGCTGCGAACCTCCGGGAACTCCTTGTGCAAGTTGCATGGCGCCTGCTCTGAGGAGGAGCGTCTCATTTCATGCTGCTGACGCTGGCTGAGCACAGAGAGGGAGTGCCCACACCCTGGCACAGCTAAAAGCTCCAGAGGTTTGCCAAATTCATCTTGCCTGGCGGGAGAGGCTGATTTTAAGCTCTCCTCTCTGTCAAAGGAAAATGTGGAGCTATAGGATAAGTTGCTGTCCTGGCTCGGGCTGCGCGACAGACTAGTGCAAGCAGACTCGAAGCTCGATTCACCGGAGGAGTGCTCGATTTCAGCCAGGCGGAGTCGTTTCTTCTTCGGAGGGAGCTTTTCTGGAGGGAATTGTGCTAAAGTTTCGCTTCTTTGAGGCCATTGAAACTCCTCCACGTGCTTCTCTGGCTCCTTCGCTGGCACTTCCGAAGCTTTTTCTGGACTGTCAGGTTCCACTGTGACCCTTATTTCTGGGACTTGTATATTTGTCTGTCGCACAAGTTTGGGCCCCAGCTGAACTGATTGGCTTAATCTATTGTCGTGTTCCATTTCAAATGATTCAATGGCCTCCATTGCTGGTAATGACGACATAGTTTCCAGTCGTTGACTGTAATATTTGAATGACTCTGACAGGTCAGTTTGAGGCCTGTTTATTGAGTTTGTGTGTTGGATAACTGAAATTACATTCCCCAGGTTTTTTCGGCCTGATATGTCAGGGTTCATTGATATGTCCATGTCACACCTGTCCAAATGTCCCCCACCTAAAGCTATTATTCCCATTGCAGCTTGTTTTATATCGTAGTCTTTGCTTGAATCAAACATTTCCTCACACTGCTTATGATGGCTCTCATATTGCCCCAGCAAGTCCTCTTCCTCCCTCTTCTCTTTGCGGCGCTTTCGAGTCGCCAGTTCCATTGCATGTTTCTGCTGAGTTGTACCAAGTCCCAAAGAGGTATAGCTTTCCATGTCCAACCCAGACGGAGAAGCCTCACTAATTTTTCCATGACTGTCAGCTTCGGTGTGACCATCGTGCCCTGATAGCTCAATAGCACCTTGACGTTTTAGTCTCCTCATGCCCCCTGTGCTTGACCTTTCATCAAACGAGTGGCTGCCTCGAAGGGCTTGTGGCATAGACAGACTCACGGCTGAGGATGTTGGCATTGAGTTGCTTCGGATCAGAGGCCCCATGTCACAGCCGGCGTCTAACTGCAACTCTTTTAGCTCCTCCTTTAGGAACGATTTGGTGTTTATTTTGATTGACTCAACCGCATCGTTTTCTTGAGTGAAAACACGGGACACACCTTTCTCAGAGCCTTTCTCAGAAGGTTCCCCAGACTCATAAGACGATGTCTGCTTAGGGCTTGGCCGATAACACTTCCCAAACATGATTTCTTGGTAGGACTTTGCGTTAGTGTTTGGAGGACCGGTCTGATGCTCCGAACTCTCAGAGCGCGAGAAGTAGCCTGAGTCCGTGCTGCCCTTGCTGGATTGACTCGGAAGGGACAGATTTTGCTCCGAGTCGCCACTTCTCTTTTCTGACAGCCGAAGCGCGAGCCTCTGCTTGATAGTGGAAGATTGGATTGCACGGCTGGCCTCGGCTGTGACAGGAGAGGCATTGATTTCTTGGGGTTGGGAGGAACCATCCTGACCTGACATTGACGTGGCTCCCTTTTTCTGAGCAATGAGATTTAGCACTTTTACAGCAGTGTTATCTGATCCCTCCATTGGAGAGTCCAGCAGCAGCAGTGGGTCATTAAGAGTGTCCTCGTCCGTATCCGTGCTTTGCTCAGCATCAGAGAATAATTCTCCTTCCCCTTCAACAGACCCCTGCTCCACATTAACATTGTAAGGCCCAAGCTCTGATAATGGCACCGTTCCAGCTTTGACTGAGTGAGCATGAGACTTTCTGTGTTTGTACAGGTTACTCTTGGTTTTGAAGGAGAACCCGCAGGGAACACACGGGTAGGGCCGTTCGCCGGTGTGTGAGCGAATATGTTTCTTAAGAACGCTGGGTTTGGCACATGCCCTGCCACAGTAGTCGCAGACATACTTTCCTGGTTTTTGTGGTTTCTGCTCCACCTTAGCCGTCACTTCTGACAGCTGGTCCATCCCTGAATGGGAACACTGTTGCTGAACTTCGGCTGAAGCGGGCGACTTCCTTTGACTCCCAGGTCCTGGCGACTGCGCTGAAGCTTTTTGTCTCCCTACAGAGAAGGGCTTTGTGGGCTGTAGCGGATATGAAGACACCTCATAGTCTGGATGGCTTATGGACTGAGCTTGTGAGAACTGATCTTCAAATTTCGGAGATTTCCCTGAGTCAGACATTTCACTAAAACCACACGTTCCTCCGCTCTGAACTTCTTCTAAGTCTTGATACCACCCTTTGCTTTCCGATTTGACAGAAGGTCTGAGGACAGCTTCTGATGTGCTTTTTTTCTGCCCAATCTTTTTTTCCTGACCCTCGGCGGCGCTCTCCACCCCTGTAGTAGCGTCAAGTGACTCCATGAATCCAATGAGTTCACTTGTGATTAACTTTCAAGGACGGTATGTGTTGTGTGACCTCAGTGATATCAACTTATATGTGAGAAGCAGGGAGGAGTCACCTGAAAGAGCAAAGAAAGGAAACGAGATTAAAAACCCAAACCACAACAAATCACAATTCAAGCATGTGGCAAATAAAGCTGACAAAATGTTGGAAATAGAAAAAGAGATCAAGTCTTTTCAATAAACGGAGAGTTATGTAAGGATGTCGAAACTTTCCTACATAAAACTGGCGTGTTCAGCGTAAAGTAACCTCAAGGTGTGGAGTGGAAAAAATTTGTTTCTTTCCAAAAGTTTCTCGTGTAAGTCCTGGAAGACAGCCAAATGTCCTAAAACTATGAATAATGGATGTCAGCTATGTGTTAAGAACCATAAACAGAAGCATAAATAAGTTAACATTTACGTTTACAGAATGTGAGAGTGTGTATGTGTGTGTGCATCCGAGTGAGCCCATTTAAAAATTAACGTCTTTATCTCAAAGCACGAAAACAACATGCAAAGCATGAGTGCTGGATAAAAAGTACAATATATGAATTTATTTTATACTGAGATACATTCATTTAATTGTTGGATTTCCTTTCGGACAATATTCACAACAGGCTGCAAAGCTGTTCACTGATTTGTTTCCAAAATTGTGTCCTCATTCGCTCCAGTGAATAAGATGATTCGACATCTTAAAATAAAGCTAAAATGCATTTTTGATAGTAAAATAGCTTGAAGCGGCTGGTTTTTTTTTATGCTTTAGTGCCAATTATCTCATGTTTTTCATTAATCTCATTGAGAGGCTCTGTTGTAAGTTACTTTACTTCCATAGGATTTTTCAAACGAGACTTGTTCTGCAGCCAGTGAGGCGAGGAGCTGAAGTTACACTTTCATCAAAGCACTTACCTTATAAATGTTATGTGTTTTGTATTTTATTTAGCTTGTTGAATTTTTTCACTAACATGTTGAAGATCTCAAGAAGCAATGTATCATGCCTCTTGTACTAGTGGGTCTACATACATTTAGCATGGTAATTCTATTTTAGCAAAACACACTTTTGATGAAAGAAAATTTCTGTAAATCTTATGTCTAATTGTTCTGCAAGGCCAAAACCACAAGGCGTTACCTTAGCAGTGGGGAAAAGGACCATGTGACGTGAAGAATGAGAAATGTTTGCCAATACATTCCAGCAAATAAGTAGGTTAGGATATCAATGAAGGGTTTAGTTTAGTCATTTAAGTCTGCTGCCAGTCTAATTAAAGTTGAAGCCACAAAAGGTAGCCAAAAAGGCTGGCTCCTCACAAAGTGCTGATTTTAATGGAAAGTTGAGTGAAAAAAAAAAGAGTTTGGTTGAAAAGGTCACGGTGATCCAGAAAAAACAACAACAAAAGGCCTGAAGAGGACGGTGAAGTAAATCCCATTCACAAAGTGTGAAGTGTAGCTTTAAATTGGTGCTTCAAGAGAAACCGCGCACTACAACAGTAGCTTTCCTGGTGGTAAGATATTTCTGAACCAGAGACAACATCAGAAGTATCTTACACGGTCTAGAGAGAAAAAGAACTGATCACTCTCCAAAGTCCTCTCTTTAAATGAAAACACAGATTGCATTTTATTTGTAAATCAATGTCCCAGGGTGCACAGGAAGAGTGGAGAGGCACAGAATCCACTTTGCCTGAAGTCCAGAGAGAAGTTTCCACAGTCGAGTGACGAATTGGGGAGCCTCCGCAATTTGCTGCTATTGTCCCACTGTGTTTTATCAAGTCTAGAGTCAGTGCAGTCATTTATCTGGAATGTTTAGAGTACTTTGTATTTTCATCCACTGAAAAACTTTATGAAGATGCTGATTTCATTTTCCATAAGGACTTGGTAACTGCCCACACTTCCCCCACTACCTACTTTAACGATGTTGTCATTGCACTGGATTAGCTAGAAACGTAGCTTGACCTAAACACTGACAGAATCGATAGATTATTGTCAAGAGCAAGAGAAACGACAATCGTGCAGATGAGTCGAAGACCTCTCATGAACCAACCCAGGCTTTCTATTTCACACCACATTGATGCAGGAATTTAATCAAGAGGAACCTCAACCAAGCATTGGATTCATGGACATACTTTTCAATAGGCCAACAATTATCCATTTCGAAAGATCTTGCATAATATTAAGATTTTCCAAGGACTTGAATTTCATTTGCAAGCCATCATTAAAAAAAAACAACAAAAAAATCTGCGTAAATATGTGTTTCAGTTTTTAACTTAAATGCCTACACTAAAATATCTTTTTGATGCTTTAAATTGACATACATGTGCAAAGGTATTCCTGTTTCCTCCTACTGGACTGAAATCCATACACATGTCTGAGCCGACAGAGTCATCACCTACACCCCGGGGTGCACGGGACCACATGCTGAACTGTATGCAAACACGCCTGACTCCCGACTCCTTGGTTTAACCGAGCCGCCTCCTCTGCCACATCTTCGCCTCACGCCCAGAGGACGGGTATATGAGGACACGTCATTTCCATCTTCTCGGTATCAAACGCAGTGTCCTCCCTAATGAGGTTATGTAAGATTATCTGGTTCAAACCCTCTGAGTTCCCCTTAATTAGGACATCCTCCGACTCTCTCGCTCTCTTGCTCTGGCTCTCTTCTTTCTCTTTGTTAGCTCAACGCGCACTGCTCAAGCACGAGCCAGAGAATGGGAATCCAAGGTGACTCTCGAGATGCCCCGAGACGCTTGAAAGCGGTCGTGAGGAGGACCTTCTGCTACCTCACAAAGATTTTTTTTAAAAAGCATCTACTTTGTGGTTCGGTAGCTCCTGCTTTCAAATAAACTGCCGGATTCTGCAGACTACAGTGAAGAACAGGAAAAGATGGAGCCGGAGGCTTAACAGAATGGTCTGTGATTCATTAGGGAGGTTTACAGATAAGGTAAACCAGAGGGGGTAGTTTAGGGTTGAGGGAAACAACACTCACTGGCCTGGTAGGGAGCTCCCTTTCAAGGTGACCTCATTGGTTAGATTCCAGGAGATGAGGGAAGGGAAATATGGGTGCAGCGTGACAACGAGATAAGACCCTCACAAGCAATCCATACTTTTGAAAGCAAGGATGAGGGGGCCGACACATCCAAACTCTCACTGAGAAAGTCTGACTTTTTTTTTGGCCCCCTCCCCCTTACAAAATTTCTCCGAGTCCGGACATCGAGCGCGCACCTATCCTGAAATATGTGACAAGGCAGCAATGACGTGGAACAACAGGAGGCAGGTGGGTGGCCGTAGGTGTGTTTCAGGATGAACGGGGGCCGACGGCGGTACAGTATGTTCACATGGATGGAGACGTGATCTCCACGGATCCTTTGGGGGGCGGGAGAGCGCTTGGAGAGGTGTGTGTGTGTGTGGGGGGGGGGCTCATCTCCCGACTTCCTTCCACACAAGGGAGACAGAATAACGAGCAACCAAACGCTGGCTCGCGGAGAGCATCGTTATGCCGCCACATTACATCATTAGAGGCTAAGTTGACCATTAAAGGGAACGGGCGTGAGGACCCACGCTGGCAACCAATCCATAAATATCGTAAGAAGATGAAAACAAGCTGGACGGTAAAAAAAAAAAAAAAACTCTCTGTGGTGCAACCCGCGGCAGCAAAGCATGAAGAATGAATCAACATCTCTCTCTGTCTCTCTCTTTCTCTCTACGATGACAATGACATAAAGCACACAGTGTTGTGGTGGTTGTTAGTGGGGGGGGAGGCTTGGTTCCTACAACAGCTGACATTCACAGATCAAATATAATCCTCATACAAACCTGACATTTGAACAGTCCCCCGTCCCATGTCGACAGTCATATGTGACATTCCTCATGCTGCCCGGTCCGTCCCCCTGTCCTGCTCATGTCCGGGTGGGAATAACAACAAAAGAAATTAGCGAGGAATAGTCCCATCAGCTGTGAAGCCGCTGGCCGACTGGGTGTACATTAGAAGATCTATTGATGCGAGCAAGTCACCAGAGAAAATACCCAACCGTGACGTGCGGACCCAGGCACAAAAATAGCAAAGGGGCCCTGGGAGGGATTACACAACAGCCCACGTTTAAGGACGCTTTTCCTCCCTCCGCTCCCCTCCCCTCCCCTCTCCTCTGACTCTCCATCTCTCTTTCTCTGTGCATTTTGAAAGCAGAGCAGCAGCTGCCTCGTTGCACACACAAAGCGAGGAGCTGGCTGTCATGATCCGAGGAGCCAAACATCAACTTCATCTGCTCAACAGAGACATACCAGTTTCCCTCCGATTGATGCATTTACACCAAAAGAGGGTTACGGTTGAATTAGAAATCTACAGTCGAAAGTTAATGTTCGCATACACTGGACACCACCCACTCTCACATCAAGACATCAGGCGGAACCGTCCCAGTTTTAGGGAAGAGGGAGACTTTTTTTTCAACTTTGTTCACATTTATAAGCTCACGCACATTTCAATTGTTTTTGGTACCATTGCATTTCAAACTATTTGGAACAAACTCAGGGTTTCACCCCAGAAAAGCCTGGTGGTTGGGTGCAAGTCATTCATCCAGCAGCCCATCATGCTTTTGAGCTAAATGCTAAAAGTTGATAGGAAATTTGAAAATATCACTTGATAATCATGTTTCTTTGGAAGATTTATATCTGTACACCAACGATAAAGTCTTAAAAAATGCAAACATTTAAAAAGCAAATATTTAAATAAGCAATGGGGGCACAACTAAAGTCTGGTGGCCCGCCAGGCTTATAATATACCCTGAAACTTCTAGTAAGCTGCAAAACCGCCAAATAGCACTGAGTTGATTTAAATCAGGGGTGAAAATCCACCTGTCTTTAGAGTTATGATTCAGAATAACTGGAACATTGTTCGATAATGTTTATGCCTTTTTGCTTGATGATTTCGATGTTGGCAAAATGTAATGTTCATTCATAATTAGTTACTGTGTTATGTTTTTATCCCGTAAAGCACTTTGAGCTGCATATACAAATAAACCTGACGTAAAACTGGTTGACCTGGGTCAAGCATTTTGTTCATCAGGTTCTTTCTTTGAGACGCCTCCTGTTTCATTAA